TCATGTATGTTCCCACACATGTTCATGTAGTCATCATGCATGTTCCCGCACAATGATGACATTAGTTCTGTACATCTAACCATCACACCTGGGATACACCCAGGTGGAGCAGTGGGCAGCTGTGTTAGTGCCCGGGGAGCAATTGGGGATTAAGTGTCTTGCTCAAGAACACTACGACATGTGGGCATGGTGGGGAGTTGAACTGCGACTTTCTGGTCTCAGGTCGGCTGCCCTGCCTCTGCACCATCTCAACCCATGTCTTCATGTAAAGTTTTTCTCTGCAAAAAGATGCTAAGAACTTGTTTACTGATTTTTTTTATTTTTCATTAAAAGCTTTGTGTGACAAATGCTAAAGAGCTCAAACCACATCGAGCATCTGCCATTTTGAAAACTGAAGAGAAACAGCCCATGTCACATCAAGGAGCCCCCCTCCCATTTTTCTTAGAGACGCGCTGCTCGCTCCCTCACTATCCATCCTTCAGTTCAAACAGTCTTATACTGCCACCCATTGATCAAAAAATGTACTACACACAAAAATTTGCCAACATTTCTTATTAAATTTGACAATAATTACTAATTATTGTCAAATTTCAAACTATATTATGTTTATCACAATAATTAGTGAGACAATTAATCGCCCAACAAAATTAGTTCTCATGACAGGCCTACTTGTGCTTAACAATTAAATATTAAGCGACTCACCCGGAATGATGCTTCAGTAGCTGCTTTTGTGGTCACCTGTAAAAAAAATGACAGCTGTACGGATAACTGGGATTTTAGTTCCTTCACCTTTTTCTTTCTTAGCTTGCTTTTCGGAAGAATGTCAGTGTCGTAGGTTTTATGAATACTGTAGTCCCTTGTGTATCACGGGGTTACGTTCCAAACGTCCCCACAATAAGTGAAAACCAGCGAAGTAACGACATTCTGTTTATTTTAGCATTTATTTATATTTTAAGGCTTTAGAGACTCTTCCCACACTCTTGCAACGTTCCAAACTATTAAACCTGTGTCATTGTAACAAAATATGTATATTTAGCTACTAAGTTTTACTTACCAGCTCTGCAGAACAGCAGCTCGGTTCTGCTCCAACTTGGTTCGTTTCTGCAGACCTACCCTGCTGGTTCTGGTTGGCTTTCTGGTTCGGGGTAGTCCCCATGAGCTCCGGAGAGAACGCCAGACCTCTGGACGGCGCCTCCCCGCTTGGAAGGCCTCGTGGGCCGGCGGACGGCACTCAGATTCCCAGATAAGTCTTGAGGTCTGCTGGTTCTGGTCCAGTTCTCGTAGGCTCTCTGCAGCCCTTGAGCACAAAAAAATGCTTTAGGAGAGAGCTAGACCTTCGGATGGTCATTGTGGTCCAGATCGAGCCCTAATCCACATGAAAAAAGTCTTGTGGGCTCTGGAGAGAATGCCGGACCTCCGGACGGCACCTTCCCACTCGGAAGACCTCATGGGCTGGCGGGTGGCACTCGGATTCATCAATAAGGCTGGAGGTCCAGTTCTGGTCTAGTTCTTGGTTGGTTCCATGGGGGCTCTCTGCATCCACTGGGCGCCGAAGTCACTATGAATACGGACAGAACTTTTCAGATTGGATAAAAACTTTCCCTCCATTTCAGCAGAAGGCAACGGTGCTTCTGGGTGGGACACTGTTGGCTTCTGGGAAATGTGGTCATTTTGAATGGCAATACAGTGTAGGCTGATTGAGAGAAAACTACAAAATGGCGGCGTCTGTCCAAAGTATATTTTTTGGTTAACTTTTTACTGTACAGCAGCCCATACTGTCCCAATCGTGTGAGTAAAATTAATGTTGACAATCCTGTGTCTTGTACAGTTTTTTTTCTCGTGTACAATCTTACTTTGAAAAATCGCGAAAGAGCGAGTCCGTGAAAGTCGCACTGTGAAGTAGCGAGGGACTACTGTAGTCTGAAAGTGCTGCTCCAGATTTGCCTAATTCGGAATAGCAACGGTAGACTTGCAGATGAGGCAAACGCACTTCTGACTTGACATTGTGAAAAAAGTCGTCCTCCCATTCCGTATGGAAATGGCAGGTGGTCCAGCTCCCCAACTCAATTTAAAATAACTTGTGTTTAGATTAGAAGAAATAAACTGGAGGCAACTCTGAAGTTTTTGGCACGGTTGTCTGCACATGGGTGGAGACGTATGTTCCAGAAAAGGTCCGCTCTCAGATTAGCTACCCTGTAGTCCATCAAGTGACACATTGCACACTATCACTTGCAAGCAAACTATTGAAGAAAAGGCAGTAACACTCGTAACAAGCGTGTAAATGTTTGTTTTTTGTCTTTCACCGCTTTAAAATCGTTCTTTAGGTGCTTTGATAAGAAACAGGAGAAAGAGTCAGAGATGCTCTGCTGGGAAGTAACAGGAACCTTTTAACGGCTTCAAGCAGCTTCTCCAGGCTTCAACTTGTCCATGTGGGTGTAATTAGACTGTAATCCATGACAGCCTTGAATATTTACAGGTGAACCCTGGAATATCTGCTGCAGTCCTCGTGTCTTGTGTTGTCACTCAGGGAGTTAGAGTCAGAATTAAACTGACGAGGCTACAAAACAAGATTTAGTTGGCCAGAAACGAGCTGTGCCTTCAAGAAAGCCTTGCTCCTGAGTTGTGTCGCAGCCTGTCCCATGCTTTGGGTCAATGTGCGTCCTTCAGACAGGAATGTAAAATAAAGACCAAAGGAAAACATTGGAGTGCTCGTAGATACAATCCAGCGCCTCCTGCCAAGTTGTCATGTGCTTACGTCACACGGGCTCAAGAGCGGAGACGTTGAAACGTCAGCTGGACGTTTTCCTCCTGTTCCACTTTAAGAACAGAAGGTCTTAAAAAGTGACGGTGCTGTTAAGGAAGGTGGTGCTCTGTTTGGTTTTGTGTTGGTTTTATTCACTGTAGAAATCACAACCAAGCACGTTTAATTATTACAACTGTTAATCAACATGAAGACTGATTATTTAATATAAAAGGCTTTGATTTGTCACATTTTTATCATTTAAAAGACAAATATGTCTCGTCTAAAACTGCAGATTTGATGGTGTGAAATGAGAAAACCAGGTTCTGTATTTATTGCTGTACCGTCGCACCGCTGCTGCTCGCATCAGCCAGATGTGCACCGCTGCTGCTCGCATCAGCCAGATGTGCACCGCTGCTGCTCGCATCAGCCAGATGTGCACCGCTGCTGCTCACGTCAGCCAGATGTGCACCGCTGCTGC